AAGCCCGTGGACTTGTCCAGGCGTTTCACTGATGCAACAAAGACATCAACGAAAAACAGAACCAAGAGGAAAAGAGCCGAGTGTTGGGAGGCAGAAGAGGAGAGAGTAAAAGCCGAGCTAATCAGAACAAAACTCCAGCCTCCTGCGCGCTCAACTCTTCTCTACTCAGCTCTGCCCATTCGGATATTAAATTGCCTCTCAGTCGTCTGTGATCTGAAGGAGGTTGGACTTTTTTTAAAAGTCTGATATCACATTGCCTCTCTGCTCTTCTCTCTGCCCCCTCACATTGAAGAACAAGTGCACCCTGCTTTGTTTTAACAGAAGTCTCGCTCCCTTTTTCTACGTTTGTTTTGACAAAATTGACGAGACACAAGATGAAATCAATGAGACATCGCAGAAGGGAGCGCTGTTTGATGCCAACAATTCATTTCGCGGAAAGTCGGAGGCTGAGAGCCTTTTTTTTCCGAGGAATTCTCCACCAGCGTTACGTCAGCATGCAGGCTGCACTCCCGTTATGCAAATACAACAAAGTCCCGCGTGTAGCTACAATACATAAACTACAGTGGAAACATCATGAACTCTCTCTCCTCTTTCTCTTTGTCTCTCTCGCTCTCTGATCCAGCTGCTCTTTTGGCAATGGAGCAAAGAAATAAATGAAGTGCTTCGGCAGAAGGAAGGCTTCACTAGAGAAGGATTGCGGGGAGAGGGAGTGAGATGAGGATTTGGTGAGGGGTTTTAAAGACATTTTATTTAAATGAGTGTCTTTTTTTTTGGGGGGGGGGGGGGGGGGGGGGCTTAAAACATCAGTGGGACATTAGGCGTCGGGCCACGACTGTTCAATTATGCTTCCAATGGCTATCGGATTAATAAACCTGAGTCCTTGGATGCTATTTTAACTTTTGTAACGCTAATTGGTGAATAGCTGGAGTTTGAGTATTTATCAAAGTGAGAAAGAGAACAACATGCATCCCAGTATCTGTAGCTGTGTTGAAAAGAAAAGTAGACTGAGGGGTTAGCTGAAGACAAAACTAAAATGGTGAGACTGGGAGATTCTTTGCTTTGAATATTGAGGATTTAGTATGGCCTGTAATGAAAACAGTGGTAAGAAATATTTTGTAACCAACTATTGGGCTCGTCTGTAGCTCTCTACCCCCAAACGACTTGTCTTTTTTTTTTTTTTACAGGGGGTCACCTGCGGGACTACTTCGTGGCATCACAGCTTGTCTACCATTTCCCAAAAAGTCAAAGTCTTTCTTTAAATAGCACTGCTCCACATGCGGATGGCGCGCATTGTGATGCAATTGTGATAGTGGAGACATGGCAGGAAACAAGGCAGAAAGAGAAGATGGAACGATGGAGCAAAGCCTGATTCAAAACCTGGAACGTGGTTTATGATCTTAAGTCGTCAAGGTTGCAATTTCAAAATGAGCAACAGGAATAATTAGAAACAGGGAGTCTGACAAAAGTTAACCTAAAAACAGCATGCCGCATCACTGCATTGTTCACATTCCAATAGAAAACAGTCCAATCAAACTGATGTTGTTGCTGATGCTCACTTGCGTAGCATTCAGTTAGCATATTGTGTAATGGACATAATCTGCAAAAATAGATATTGGAATACTTTGAACCAGCCCAGTTGCCAAAAATGTTGGCGTTGTATGTTTCTCGGAACCACGGATGCGTCGAATGTTGACGTTCTTGCGTTTGTTCAGAGCAAGTGAGGTAATATATGCAACCTTTATTGAAAGTCGTGCGGTATAATAACGAGTATAAAAGGCGAGAAAAGTCCACCAAGCGTGAAAATAATACTGTAAGAATGACCTGAAGCCGATAGTTAGACCTTTACTTGAGTCTAAAGAAAAGAAAAAGTGAGCAAACGTAGACAACAAAAGACACTAATACAAACACACACGTGTCCTTCTCTCCTAACTTGCCCCCCGAGGTTACTCGGGGTTGGTTAACGTGGTAATAAATCCCAACCTATCCGAAAAGGTGATGAACATGCGGTTTGGTTCAGGCCAACTACACAAGGCTTCATGAAAGAAATCGAAGCAAGCTATGCAGGACTGAGCCGAGCAGAAGTGACTGTGGAGGAGCTGATCATAGTATTTACACAGAGCTGATCCAAACACTCGGTTGCAACAGTGACACAACACGCTCCGCTCAAGCCAGCTACAGCACGCAGGAGACAGGTTTTTTTTGGCAGAAAGAAACATTTTTACAGGCTGTCCGAAGTTATTTCTTCCTATCATAAAGATATATAAACCCTCAGTCAGAGCTCATGTTCACAGTGTAGTCAAAGCCCTCAGAACATTTCTACACAAGCTCTTCATAAGTTGATCATTTGCCACGTTATCTCTGCCAGGAGGATCATGTGCACGTGTGCGTGCATGCATCCGCGAATGAGTGTGCACCTCTGTGTCTGTCCAAGGCTAATCTCGCATTCTGCTGCAGCAAACCGCACAGCATTTTGGGAGCAAAGTTATGGCTGCATGCGCAAGGATCTCTCGTGTTTGCGGTGACTTACACTTTTTTTTTAAAACCTTGTATTTCCTGTTTTATACTGCCTGCTGACTCCTCACTCACTACTCTTAACCGGCCCCCTGGTGATGACACAGCTGAATGTGCTCACTTCTTGTGTTTTATACAGTGTGTGTTTGCCTATTACTACCAGTACCACAACGTTATGCTAATACCGTTAGACTAAATGACTAAATAGCATCAGGTAGGTTAGCTTAAATCACTTTCCCACTCGTTCTAAACTGCATGAACACAACTCTGAACATCTCCATCTATGTAGGAAGAACAACAAATCGTTGGCAGTTTAATATTGCGGCAGTTATGTGACGGCTTGTGATGCTACGGTGACTTCCAGTGTGCCGTTTTACAAATGTTTCCACGCAACGTACCAAGAATTTAGGACACAAACTAAGCGAGGAATTAACACATAGCAGTTGCAACCCTTTGTGAACACATGTGAGCCTCTGCTTGATTAACCACAGAGTCAACCCTGACAAACAACAACAGGAAGAAAAGGCAGCACACCAGAGGAAAATAACAGCAACAGGATATTTGCAATCAATAGGCTGACAATTCTGCTGATGCATTTCCTCATTAAGCCGTCATTAGAGCATGTATGACGGCAGTACGCTCTCTTTTTTAAGAAGGGCACATAACCAAGCAACCTGCACACAAACAACAAATAATAAAACAAAGACAAAGCCACCTGTAAGTGCACAGCCTACTGCCATAACCACCTCTGAACTGGTTTACTGAAGCTGTGAGAAACTTGGAAACACGAATTGACAAAACGACGACCGCTCAAGATCCATTAACCTGCTTGTTCTGGAGCTTTCAACCGTATCACACAGTCCTCATCAGCTGATTTGAGTTTATTGTGGATGATTCATGATTCTGAGCAACTCTAACATGACTTCTGTTGACTTACAAATGATCCACCCAATGAGCTTTTCTTTCCATAACAGACATTTTGAATTAGAAAAATGTATTTACGTGTAGCAGACAGCGCGACGGTGAGCCAGCATGCACAATACCAGGACCCGAAAGCCAAATGGAATTCAGCCATCTTTAATTGTAGTATATAAACACCTGCTTTTCCTGCCATGACAAGTCAACATGTCTCCAATTAAAAAGGTAAATCAATCCACAACTGAGCGGACACAATCCGTCCGTGATGACCGTGAGATACAGTCGAGAGCTCCAGAAGGAGCGAGGAAGTGGTCCTGGAGTTGAGATTGCTCTGTCAAGTGGGAAAACCTTCTTCCAGATTGCATTCAAGTACATGAGAGGCTCACCAGGTTCGACATATATTATGTGTTAATTGTTAACTCATTCATTGAGTTGAATACATGATTATTGTATAACAGGGGTTTATTGATGGTTACCCTGTTTGTGGAAGAAGAGTGTGGTTAATTGATATCGGTTATTATATATCGGCTATTTTGACTTCATCGTTTTAGTCCATTTTCAAGTTAAAATACCAAACATTGCCTTATTCCAGCTTTTCATGATAATAATCAACAGATGAATTAATACTGAAAATAATCTTGAGATGTCACCATACATCTATGGGTATCTGGCCTAACTTTTAAACCATAAATAAGAGCACAGACACTGAATTAAAACATTTTAAAAAAATCTCTGAGTTGCTGTCAAAAGTATAAAATATGGCTTTCACATGACTAGAACATGTTTTGTACAATACAGCATAAAGAAAAACGAAAAATGCAAATGCCAAAGGCCACTGTACACTGGACAACTTAGTCACATCACAGAGCGCGGTAGTTCCAGTCCACTTGCTCCTTTATCCTCCACAGCCCTAAAGAGATGCTGTGTCATAAATGAGAGCGATGTCGGGTTGGATTATGGTCTAGGTACAGAGCTTCTGTGTAAACGCCTGGTTAAGTTAAGCTTCAGCCCCCATCCTCCTCCTCCTCTCTCATTTCCCAGTGTAACGCTGGCTGTGCACACTTTGCTCTTACTGTGCTGTGACCAGACCATGAGACGAGAGATGCTGTTGTCCATAGACTTTGCATCCTCTCTTTGAAATAGAGGGGGGGAGGAGGGGGGAAATAGTGCCAGCAATTTCAGACAGCTGTTGTAAAAAAAAAAAAAAAAAAAAGGAGGAATAAAAATAATAATAAAAAGCTTTAAAAGCTCTAAATTAAATTGCATGGCTGAATATTCCCCTGAGCAGTCTGTATGGTGAGATGGTTCATTTACAGTAGAACAGTGCAGGGAGGCTGGGTGAAGCAGAGTATGGCGGGTGTAAAGATGCCGCTAGTTCCGTGGAAATGTGCATGACAACAAAAGCGGGTTAGGGGGCAGTGCACGCGACCATCTTCCCATAATATCCAAAGCATAAATAAAAGCAGAAGGTTGCAGGTTTAAATGTATGGAGGTTGGATGGAAACAAAGGAAAAGCGTGCATGCGATGCGGGTTGAAACAATGCATCCCAGGAAGCAGACAGAGCACCTACCTTAGAGGACTTTTATCTGTGCATCTTCTTCACTGGAGCACCACTGATTCCGTTCACATCAGCCGAGGAGGAGGGACAAAAATAATCAAAAAAGCTGTCAAAGAGCATTTTGTTGCCAGAAATGTTTGTAAAAAAAAAAAGAAGAAAAAAAGCACTAAAAGCTCGAGGCTCAGCCCGGCTCGCCGTGGAAGCGATAACTATATTCTTCTCGTTTCCACAGACAGCCTATTATGTCTGCTCTCCATCATGATGAAAGCCTCATGTTGTGCAGCATTACGCGAGCCGAACGGCTAACGTACCCGGTAACGATATTCTAGCGCAATCCGGTGAGTGGAGAGATGCTATCCTCATGATTTCCCGTCATCCCGCTGTGTTTTGGTGAGGGTGATATGAAAGCGAAGAGAAAAGGATGCTCTCAGGCTGTGGTAGCGAGCAGGTCCCGTCGCTCCTGCTGTCTACGGAAGCCCGGGTGGGCCAGAAATGCGATTTCTTTCTTTTCTTTTTTCTTTCTGCTCATCTGATAGAAAGGGAGCTGGTGATTTTATAACGAAACAGACAGGGAATGATTTTACTTTAAAATAATGATAATACATTGTATTTTTATTGTACTTGATAACAGATGTTATAAGTGTGGTAAGGACATATTTAAAAGAAAAATGTCTAAGTAAAAAAACTGGCTTCCTACTTCCATTTTTTTAAGCTGATATTGTCTCTTTTTAACCTTTGATAACCATCGTTTAAAGGTTTTCTATAACAGCTTTTGGTTGCTCCCTTTTACTCAATTAGTCGACAAATTGATCATTATGGTCTTAATTAATTAATACTTTTACTCTGTTTATAATAGTGTCCCAATGATCACAAAGCAAGGTCTTAATTAAAAGGAATCTAAATAATGACATTTATTTTAATTTTACTTTTAAATATAGATGTTTTAATTGGTTGTACCGTGTTGGTTGACTTATTAGGTATGCTCTCTTTAATAAGTCATTAATGTAAAATCTGACATCACAATGATATTCACAAACATGGCCTTTATTGCTGGATATGAGATCTTCAGCAGTCAACTGCAACAGAACAATAATATGTTTGAGAACCATAATGATTAATATCAGATCAACTTTATTAATTCTATACTGATGTTTTATTCAATTGCACACCATAAACAAGGTTAGCAGCTACACAAGTCAACAAATTATTGTGTTGAATAATAACAGAAGTGAGCCTTATTGTTTCCTCAGGTGAGTGTTCCGAGTGTACAACAGTTCAAATCGATGGGACAGATGTTGTGGTTCTCTGCTCCATCTAGTGGAAGCAAGAAATCCCTGCAGGGATCAGGACCATCAGTGACATGTTGACTGGACATTTTATACGTTACAGGACCGACAAAACCACAACACACACACGGATATAAATCAAAACCACAGACCAAAGATCCTGATTGGACAATTTTATTTTCTCAAGGACATTTATGAAGCCAGAAGGAAGATCTGTTTTTGTTATCATCGTACACTGTCAAAAACAATGAGTGTATTTTCTGATCACCATCACATCAACATAATGCACACACGGTACCAACTACACTCACTGAAAGCCTGGGGTTTGGTACAGAGCCTGGTTCGCCAAAGGAACACTGGAGTTACAGCTCGGATTAAAGGAGATCTTGCTGCTTTGACACCTTTGGGAGGAGGTCTACGTATATTACAGAGTCCGGTTTCCTCTCGTTAAAGATTTAATGTTTGTACTCATTCAGAACTTTGATTTGTCTTTTTTTTTTATGGCTTTGTCGTGATATAGCAGAAGTCTAATTGTATCATTCAAATTGCACTCTACCCACAAATACAACTCGGCTTTACACACACAAGTTACGCTTCTTTAAGGAATGTTAGAAAATATTGGGAACGCAGATTTGTACAGCTAACATGTTAAGACGTACATTCAAAACAAGACAGTTTAATAAAAACAAAAAAAAAAAAAAAAAAGAGGATTTGCAGAATTTCTGTGTAAAATGAGGATATTTTAAAAAGCCTGCATCCATAAAGTTGTCCATAAACAGTGACTTGAGAAAGAGGATAGCAACTTTGACTTAAACTTGAGCATCTGCAAACAAAACAAAAAAGAAAGTATTTTGGATATCCAAAATCTTTTGGCTTCCCTCTCGTCAACACTGAACAATCCACTTTCATGGCCACCACATTCTCGTAAAAACTACTGAAGAGGAACCAGGTTAAAACAAACTAAATAAAGGAGACTCGGGGGGGTAAACAAGGAAGTTATGGCTGGCAGCTGTGTTCAGGAGGCTCACTGGTCTCAAATGTCGATATCTGAGCTCCAGAACGCTTTGAGGAACTAAGGAAATGAACGACAGGATGCCTCCCAAAGAGCACGTCCAACCCTCGAGTGACCTTACTAGTGATTCCAGATCAGTACTCCAATCCTAAACTTCATAGATCCTCTCACTTCTACAGCGGGAGGCCTAGAGAATACTGCATTTGGGCCACTGCGTGGATTAAGGACCACGTGCTTATTATTAGCAGAACAAAAAGAAAAAGATGACTGACAGACCAGGCTACAGTAATGAACACAATGGCAAACACCCTCATGCTTCACATGAAAAAAAGAAAAATCACTTGTCCAGCATACACACACAAACAGACACCCACACACAGAAATATTTTCAAATTCTCCGGTGTCATTTTAAAACTCATCGTTTATCCAAGAGTGGTCAGAAGAAAGTCAGAACCCATGACTATGAACCCATCGGTACGTTTTGAGAGCGATTCGATCCATTTGATGACGCGGCACGTTGTCTCCACAGCTCGTCAGACTACAGACTGGCTGGTGTGAGGAAACAGATCGAAATTCATGAACATTCTGATTGTACTACTCATCAAACTGAACTGAAGGTTCAATCATTTATAATCCGGAAACACTGCAATCTTTTTTTTTTTTTCCCCACTCCTCTTATTCAACATTTATGTTTCTCTCAAGAAAAGACAGCCGGCTGTGCACGTACCACTCTTGCATAAATGATGGGTAAAAGAACAATACCAGGCAAATAGAGACATTTAAATAATTTACGATGTATTTACACAATAATCCGTCTTATTTTCCAGCAGTGTCTTTTTTTTTTTTTTTTATCTTCTCAGCGTGTGAATGCATCTTCTAGTCACCCATCTTTACTTTCGATGTCTGAGGGAGGAAAAAAAAGAAACCAGTTATTACAATTTCAAACAGAACTCATCACGACTACACAATATAGATCCATCGAAACTTTCTGTGGAAATAATTACTGTCTTTGCAACGATAATTCTCAGAAGTCTGAAACAAAGGCCTTTTGTTGTCGAGCATTGTAGCAGCTAAATGCCACGGGTAGTTATCTCCTCTAAAGAAGGAAAAGATGGCTGGTGAAGACGCGTCTCATTCACCTGCAGAATGGCTACAATGACACCGAACAGGCCGATAGCGCTGCCAAAGATTTCCACAATGAGGATCTTCACGAAGAGGTTGGCGTTCTGGGCGTCTGCCAGCGCGGCTCCGCTGCCCACGATGCCAACGCAGATGCCACAGAAGAGGTTGGAGAAGCCAACGGTCAGGCCGGCTCCGAACATGGAGTAACCTGGGAGGATGGGAAACCAAGTGAGTCAGAGACCTCCGCGTGCAACCCACGCAGGGACTGGAAACAGAAAATCTCATTTCCTGTGAGGTCTGGAAACCAAAGCGGAGTGTAACAGCGGCTGATATTCAATCTGAGAGACAATTTTGAAGCATCTTAAAATATTCATTGCTTTAACGTCTTTGATATTACCTTCTTTTCATGCATAATATTTCATGAGTGAATGATATATATACAGTATATAAATAGATCTATCAAAGTCCATTAGAAGTCTTTTAATAAGGTGAGCAATCCATATTTAATACTCGTTTTGACTGAATGTTGCAACTATCTTAAAGGGACGGTTCACTCCAAAACACATACGTTTCCTCTTACCTGCAGCGCTATTAATCAGATCGACATCGTCTTGGTGTGAGTTGTCTAATTGTGGAGATATAGTGCGTCAAGGTGTCTGCCATCTCTCCAATATAATGAGACTATATTTCATGTAGGAGCTATTTTCTATAAACTATAGTTATTTATATGAAACTGCTTACAACAATGGTTTAACTTGAGTAACCAGGTCATGATTTTGGCTCTTTGAGCGCCACAATCCGTGTGACATAGACCCATTTTCTATCCGTTTATCAGGGGGAGACACTTTCCAGCTCTTCCTGGGGAACCCTAAGGCATCCCCGGGACAGACGAAATATAAAGTCCCTCCAGCGTGTTCTGGGTCCACCCCAGAGGATGTGCTCGTAAATCCCCTAAAAGGGAGGCGTCCTAATCAGATGCCTGAACCACCTCAGCTGACCCCTTTCCTCAGGAAGGAGCAGCGGTTCTCCTCTGAGCTCCCTCCTGGATGTCTGAGCTCCTCACCCGTTCTCTAAAGGCTGAGCACAGCCACCACACAAAGGTGAGACAGCGTCCCACAGGTGAGGGTTGAAATGTAGATGGACTGCTAAACTTAGAGCTCTGCCTTCTGGCTCAGCTCCCTCCTCACTCCCAAACCCGGAGGGTGCAATCCAGCGTTTCTCGGCAGAGAACCATGAACCTTAGACTTGAAAGTACTGACTCTCAACCCAGCTGCTTCCCACTCGAGTGCCATATACTTCCATTATACTGGAGAAAAGGCAGACATCTCTTCAGCTGACATCTCAAAAACCAAGCAACTCCTACCAAAAATAAATAAATAGCACTGCAGATAAAACTAATTTTTTTATTTTTATTTTGGGGTGAACTGTCCCTTTAACATGTTATTTTTAAAGCATTTTTCATAGTTTTATTGTATTTTTCTTCTATTCTATATTTACGTTTCTTGATTTCGAATTGTTTCTGTTTATGAGTATTTAACTTGCTATCAGTTACATTAAAACATTTTTAAAGTGAGAAATATTCACCTGGAATATTACAATTTGTGTCATATTCAGTGAATTCCTGGTGCCGTTTTAAGGCGTTGACATTCTTTGGAATGAATATTTTTCTTTTGTCTTTTTGTGGGTTTTCTTACCAGCTTGGTAGTTCCTTGCCCCGATGGTCTCGGGGGTTGTTCCACTGAAGTTCTGGAAGATGAAAGTTTATTTTTAGAGCCAAAAAAAAAAAAACATCCTTGCTCCGTTGTTGATATCATTAAACTTGTTATTAAGCTTTCTGTCCCATATCTATAAATGCTTTCATTTTTTAGCAGTGCAAAATGGGAGAACTGCACAGTGTTCTTGATTATGGACAAGAAAAACGCTTAATGCTGACCTCGGCCATGTTGCTGATTACAATGGCCATGATGATCCCGTAGATCGCCACAGCTTCACAGAAGATGATGCTGAAGGGAGAAATAAAAAGAACAGAAACGTAGTAAGAGACGCGTTTGTGTTTAAAAGTGGCAGTTTGTTCCCACAAGTCACTACACAGCTGCAGTCCTCATTTGAGAGGGATTTACAGATGTTTTGATGTGGATTTCTGATATTTAATTGGCTATGTTTTCCCATGAGGAATCCATCCACAAACTATTTTTTGTATTTTGGGAGTCCACAGGAAGTTAGAAATTAAATGAAAAATGTGATATTTCAACCACCTTCATTTAGCAGCAATATTTAAGTGTGTTTAGCTCGATAACACTATGCAGCTGAGCTGATCAAGTTTAAGGACGGATAGAAAGACGGAGTCATTTATTAATCCTACAGCAGCTACTTAACGTAAATCACGAAAAAAGAAACAAAGCGTAAAAAATAACAAAGTAGAGGAGAATTGGACAGAGTGTAGCTTTCTAGTTCTTGAATGAGCCTACCTAACCAAATTCTTGGTTTTGATTCGTGGAGCTTTGACTCCACCACCAAGGATGCTTGAGCCAGTGATGTAGATCCCCCTGGAAAACAAAAAGTACAATCAGCACAACATTTAGAACATGACACAAAACTACCAGGTGGTGAGAAATAATTCAGAAGCAGCAGCACCAAAAACTAAACTTACTTTTTAGTTTCCACACAAGCAAACACCCTGTGATTTCACATATTTAGGGGCGGCTTCTCTACATGTTTCATCAGAGTTATTTTCATCCATAAGCAAAAGACCACTGGGTGAATATGGCAGTGCAAAGCCAAACATAACATGCAAAAATATACATACATAGATGTTTTTAATTTGTAATTCAGGCATATAATCAAACACTTGATGGGGATTCAGTGGTGTGGAAGTTTTTTGTTTTTTTTTAGGCTAGTTTCTTTTGTTTGTCTCCACGAAATGTTCTTTAAAAAGGACAGATGTCTAGTGTTTGCACCTCTGCAGTCCCTCAGCTGTTGTCTTAACGGTGTGTTCAAGAGCAACTTTTAACAGAAGACATAAAGGTGACATGAGTCTATGCATCAGTCAGTTGGTCAGAGCCACTCTGAAGCGAATT